GTGTTGCGGAAGCTGGTCCTACAACTTATTATGTGAACCTGGTATGCATTCAAATGCCACTATGAAATTTTGGCTGTTACGCCGGATGCGTGGCGCATCCCGAAAGCGTTGTTTAATAACAATGAGAACTTCATGTTTCTGAGCTTCTCGCGAAGCAAGCAACTGTCTCAGGTAGGTGAACAATCGTACCTGTAGAGAATGGCGTTCGCAAAAATCAGGAGATCTGTCACATTCGAAAGCAGACCGCCACCAGCCCACTTGTACGAGTTGTCCACTTCAGGGCAATTCTCCAAAAGGTGCTTCTTGTTGCGCTTGTAGTAGCTGAATGTGGGTTATGGAGAATGGTAGGAGGCTCTTAAACCTTTCTTAAAAAAAGCATACTTTGCCCGGTTTGGGATGATTTGGCTGTTGGTGTCTAGAGTAGTGTGCCTCATTCCTAATTCAAACGTCAAGTCCTCTATCATCTTCTTGAATTCCTTTCCCGATGCCTTCTCCAGAACTGCACTGACGAGGGTGAATCCATGAGTTGTGTACCTGATAATGAGCCATTCTTATTTCAATAGACCTGAATTTTCTATGCGTGCTGTTCCCAGCGTGTGAATAAGAGAAATATGTATCGATTATGAACGCGCAAAATCAATACCCATATCTGAGCACATGCACTTGGTATCGGACTCAAGACCAACAATAATTTGCTGAATGTTCGAGTCATTGTCGCTTAACTCTCAAGGTCCAATGTCTTCAAAACTATAGTTTACATAGTTAGGAACATGGATTCACTCAACTTGAATTTTTTGCCTGGTTCTGCTAGCAGTTCGTCGTCTTTGAACATTGCCAGCGCATCTTTGACGGTGGCGTACGGTACATTGGAAAGGAATTCCTTGTCTTCTGAGTCGCTCGGCACAGGTTCCTCGAGATCTTTTTTGCTATCAGCCTAATAATGATAAAGTGTTAGTGTATAATAAATGGATAAAAATTTGAAATGTTTGACGCCGGTTCATTTCAGAGTGCGCCATGCACTCGACCAGGATTGAGTATCGCAACAATATTCGAAGATACTGGCGTGAGGTGTGGTTTGCGGGGGCCTTCGAAGTAGACAATGTGTTTCTGCCAAACTAAGGTTTGCTTTCAATACCTAATCCTTAAAGATAAAGTCATAAATATATACAGAATATCCCCCAATTAGCAACGAACTCCCAAATCATCAGTAGTCGATAATGAAGATATGAATTGACGGAAAATGAAAAAATAGAACCGAAGCAAACCGCCGATGAAGCCATTCACAAGTATTTTCCCCTCATTTCTCCCTGGAATAAGGAAGGGGCAGAGTCGGACGAGTTTTCTGGAGTTGCTTACTCCACGGCTCCACCAACCTGCGCAAGGATTAGGCGCTACGCATTGACCATGTACCCAATCACGAGATCTCCACGGCTAGCAAATAAGCGTGTTAAACAAAAGGCGCTCGGGCCCAAATTGGCACCTATCCAACTCCTCATAGCGGCTTCCAAGGCCAGTTTTTACTCCAGCGATACTTCATATTTTCTCAGCTAGAGCTCACGTATCTTTTCACTACATTAGCAGCAGCAAAAGCATAGACCCACCTGGGGCTGTTGCCTTGAGGCGCATGTGGTAGAGAATGCCTCCTTGGCTATTTTGCTACATCTTATCATCAGACAGGAGTTGCTAGTATTCGCGTGAATTTCTCATTCAATGATGGCAGAAAACAGATCTACCCACAACTTCATACATTCCCGACAACGCGCTAGGAGTTGGAATCGAACCAAAAATCTAATTTGGCCCAGAAAGCCCCTTCTAAAAAGCATATCCAATCCTTTCAATGGACCATGGCAAAGAGTTATATATTAGTCCATAATTAATTCGCTGACATCAAAAATATCCGGAAAAATTACGATATGATCGACTGGCAGGCGAATGTTAGCTGGCAGGCCATATGAGCTGTCACCGGCGGTGCTGTGTTAAATACTCGGCCAAATATGAGAAAATGCAAGCGATTAATGTGGGGAACTTGAAAAAGTAATTCGATGATCACGGAGTACGACTCAAATGTCTCATATGCCTCAGCCCCACTTTAAGTGCAGACTTTATGACAACCTGCTGGAATGTGGCAAGCTTGTGAAAGGATCCGTAGGTGCTGAAGGAGGTGAAAAGAATTAACTACTGCGGCAGTGCCGACAAAAATGGCGCTACAAGACCTCAGTTATTACCATCTCTTCTTTGGGAATTGATCGTAAGACTAGTGTCAGAGTCCGCGATCCATCGCGCGACTCGCGCGAATCGCCCGACGAATTCGAAAAATTACAAGTGCCCGCAAAACTGCGCAGAGCTCTCCAATCTCGCCGCCATTTCTGCTTGATGGTGATGGTTGAATGACGACTGTTCATGATTCTACTTGTTTCATATTCAGT